ACGTCTTCGGACAGCGCTGGCTCTTTGGCTTTGAAACGGAGATGACCACCGCCCCCTAGAGTCGGGAACGACTAGCACATATGTGTGAGAGAACCTTTATCTTTACCTTACCATCTTCCCAGCCACACCAACAAATTCGTAGAAATCTCTCAAATGGCTTTTAAAACGATACACAAACACACATGATTTTCCATCCCATGCCTTTTTCTTAAACGCATTTGTTTTCCTAAAATTTTATTTTATTTTATTTGGGTGGGTGGGGAGGAAGACACTTGGCCACAAATTGTAGCAAAAAACCACGTCTCTCTAATCTGGAAGGAGGGGGGAAAAAGGAAAATTAACCAAAAACAGGCGGGGAGATAAGACTCAGTCACAGCCGCTTTCTACAAACGGCCCATTGTGTCCGGCCAGAGTTTCGGCCAGAAGGAAGATTGCTGAGCTGGCGGAGGGTTGCAGGCGTTGGTACGACAACGAGGGCAGGGATCCTGTGATTCATAGGGAGGATGGCATGAAGCAGAAGCTTCGGCAGGGAAAGGAAGGGAGGAAGGAACCACTGGGGGCAGAATCTCCCGCTCCGTGGAATAAGGAAAGTGACCCCTGCTGGCCAAAAGGTGGAACTGAGAGGCGCCACAGCCAACTTTAATTGTAATACGGCCACCACTCAGTGGTTACACGGGGTTACCTTAAAAACAGGCTGACTAATTTAGCAGTTGAAGCACTCGAGGTGCAACTTTACTACACGTTGGGGTTTACTCCATCACAGGTAGTCCTCAGCTAACAATGGTTCAATTACCATTCAAAGTGGCTACAGCACGGAAGAAAGTGACTTCTGACCATTTCCCCCAGTTATGACCTTTGAAACATCCCCCCCCTCCCTAATCATGTGATCCAAATTCAGACTCCTTGGCAACTGGTCCATACTTATGACGGTCGTTGTGCCCCGGGGCCATGCGATCACCTTTTGTGACCTCCTGAACAAGCAGAGTCAAGGGGGAAGCCGTAGTCACTTAATTAACAACAGGGTTACTAAAACTTAAAAGCTGCAGTGATTCACTTAACAACGGTGGCCAAGAAAATTAGGCAAAATTCACTTAACAAACGTCCCGCCTAACAATGGAAATTTGGAGCTCAATTGTGCTTGTAAGTCGATGGCTGCCTGCATGATCTCCAGACCACATTGGGAGACCAGCTTCCTTGCCCAGTGGATTCCTCCGATGCTCCCCGCTTGAAATGTATTCCAACGTGAGTAGCTCAGGGAGGTAGTTGCGTTGTTGGACTGAGCTCCAAGCTTGGCAATTTGGTTGCAAACATGTCATCACCCTTCAAGGCTTTGAGTTGATTCAACAGGCAGCACACGGACGGCGTCTCCTCGAACGGGGAGGAAACATTTGCAATCAAAAATCGCTGAACTCGGGGCTCACACCAACAGCCCCAGACTCCACTCTTGGTTGCCTTGTGGTTTCCTTTATGGGTGTCTCATCCCAATTTAGAAGAATGGAGTAGAGTAGAGAAGAGCAGAGCAGAATAGAATAGAATAGAAGAGTTGGAAGGGACCTTGGAGGTCATCTAGTCCAACCCCCTGCTTAGGCAGGAAACCCTACACCACTTCAGACAAATGGTTATCCAACATCTTCTTTAAAACCTCCAGTGTTGGAGCATTNGGGGGGGGAGAGCCTAAATCCCGAATGGGACATTTTTGTAGTAACTGATACAACCACATTTCGATAACCGAGCTCGATTTGCAGCCAGCTTCCATGAGTGTTGCTCTTCTGATTTCACACAGGGCTTCATGCCTCCATCCAGATGTTTTTGACTACTACAATTTTGGAAGATGGAGCCTTTTGTGATATTATAAATTCCCTGTAGCTGGATTAGCATTCCTTAAGGATAGCTTCTCAAATCGGGCCTTCTTTAAAAAGTAAAATAGATTTAAAACAGATAATTCCTAACTTACTTACTAAAGTGGGTTAATATTAAAAGTTAAAATTGTTGTCATTTGTCCTGCCACTTTAAGTGGGATATTGGAAACTCTTTGGATTTATCTTTGCTAAAGGTGTATGGAAGGTGGCTGAGTGGCTAAGACGTGAGCTTGTTGATCAGAAAGGTCGGCCGTTCGAATCCCTAGCGCCCTGTAACAGAGTGAGCTCCCTTTACTTGTCCCAGCTTCTGCCAACCTAGCAGTTCGGTTCGAAAGCACATAAAGAATGCAAGTAGAAAAATAGGGACCACCTTTGGTGGGAAAGTAACAGCGTTCCGTGCGCCTTCAGCGTTGAGTCATGACCACGGAGACGTCTTCAGACAGCGCTGGCTCTTCGGTTTTCAAACGGAGATGAGCACCGTAACGACTAGCACCAATGTGCGAGGGGGACCTTTACCTAAAGGGTACGGGCTTCAGCCTTGCAGGAGCATAACCCTGGTCTGTCTGGGGAGTTTTTTGGTGAAGGGGTTCGGGATCTTTTGCTGTCCTCAGTCGCTCCTTCTGTCACTTGTGCCAGAAAGCAGACAAGAGGCTTGCAGGCTTGATACTCCTGTGCCACAATTCATGCACTGTACCCTTAGAAGCAACTCGCAGTAGCTTCTTGTCCAAGCCCCCTCCTCCTGCCTTTTGCTTCGGAGCTCCTGACCCTCTCCCATCGTCACTTCTCCTGCATCTTTCCCCAGGTCTGGGTTTTTCCTCTTCTGCTCGGAGTTCCGTCCCAAAATCAAGTCCACCAACCCCGGCATTTCCATCGGGGACGTAGCCAAGAAGCTGGGCGAAATGTGGAACAATCTCAGCGACAGCGAGAAACAGCCCTACAACAACAAAGCCGCCAAGCTGAAGGAGAAGTATGAGAAGGTACGGCCGGGCTGTCGGTGCTGCAGTGCAGGCCGGAGGATCTGGGTGGGTTTGATCCGGAGAGGGAAGCCAATGGCGGCCAGACTGGGACCAGCGGATCCAATGGGCCGCCCTTTCCGGCTTGGCGGAGTGAATCCAACAGGGCTGGTTTGATCGCTGTATTTTGGGGTCCTTGTTGCTCTGAGAGTTTGGTGGCTTCCTGGCGGGCGTTTCATTACCAAACTAGGTAACGTTGTCAGTGCTAGAAGAGTGGATGGTTTGCTGTTTGTTTATATACTAGTGGCTTGCTCGGTCAGTGTTGGTGGACTCACCATCAAGTAAACAACAGCCCATCAATATTATTTCCATCAAGCCAGTGGTATATAAAAGCTAAGAGCAAACCCCACTCTAGCACTGAGGATGTTACCTAGTTGGGTAATTAAACGTCTGCAAGAAAACCAAGCTCAGAGAGCACCAGCTCCTCCTCCTTTTCTTCGCCCCTTCTTCTCCACTCCGCAACCCCCACATTCTCTTCCAGCACTGATAATGTTATCTAGTTGGGTAATTAAATGTCTGCAAGAAAACCACCAAGCTCAGAGAGGGCCAAGGACTCCACAGCCCTTCTCCTTTTCTCTGTTCCACAAACCCCCCATTCCCTTCTAGCACTGATGACGTTACCTATTCAGGTGATTAAACAAAACAACTGAGCTTTCAGAGCACTGAGGAGACCCCGCAGTTCAGTCCTGAGCGACAAATACTCTCTTCTGTTGGAATCACAATGTTGTGTTCTGTACAGCAAGAAGTCGCGTACGATATTGAGAAGGGAAGCAGAGAAAAGGTTCTTTGAGTCAGACACGAATGTGCCTGTTGCGTCTCTTGATGGTTAACAAGAGCATCCAAATAAAGTAAATAAAATAAAAAATAAATAAATAAACTCGAGCCTCTTTCCAGGGTTATATCCAAATGGAGAAGCCACTTCTAAAGATATGGTAAAATGGCATTTCAATTTTATTTTTTAAAAAAATTAAGACCTCCCTGGCACAACTTCTCAGCACGAAATTAGGGATGAGTTTCAATAGTGACACTACAATTCCACTCAGATTAATCCAGAGGGAGAGAAAGAGCGGGGAAAAAACAATTTAAATTTCAACAAAATAATAATAAAAAATATCACTTCCAACAAGTCCTTTAAACAGAAATTTCAAATTTGCAAATAGGACTATTTATACTGGTGTTTTTCCCCCTCCCTCCCCTCTCTTTTCCTGCCATCTCACACAATGCCAGCACCCCCCTTTCCCAAGAAAAAGGAGAAACTATATATATATCTCTCTCTCCAGGAAGTGCTGAGTAATTTTTTTAAAAAACAGACACTTATTGGTGTTTGTATTCTGCTTTTCCTCCAGCAGCAAATGGCTTCGTGGTATATTCTTCCAAGTGTTTCCTGCAGGCATTTCTCTACCTGCTTAGGTAGACGGCGCAATGGGGGGAGTGGCCTGGGTTGAGGCGTGGCTTCTTCCTTGATCAGGATATTCTTTCTCCCTTGATTGTTTCTCTGGCGCAACTTTGGAGTAGCCTGGAGCAAATCCAATTGCCAAACACTTAGACAAGCAAGAAGCAACAGCAAGACAAACAATCGGGGAAGGAACCACAGCCCAGCTAAGATGGGCAAGCCGAGCTAATTACGTATAAATAACCAGCGAACGCCACTCCTCCCAGCACTGACGACGTAACTTAGACTGGTAGTGGAAGACTTGGCAATCTTCAGGAAAGCACCCAAGCTCAAGGAACATCTAGAAACACACAGACACAGACACACACCTGTTCAGCCTCGATCTATATTTTCTTTTCTTTTCCCACAAGTCTTTTTTATTTCCATTTCATTCTATACAATCACATGTTTACTGTGCAACCGAGGCATATAACATTGGGTAATAAACACAGCCCTCACTTTTATAGAAAATGCCCCCTACAATACAAACCCAATATACCGCCTTAGCCCACCATACACCCTCTTTCATCCCCCTCCAACTTTCATTCTTCCTTCTCTCATACCCCTCTACACCTACTTCCCCTCCCCCTCTATCTAACCCTAACCCTATCACTCCCTCTCTTAATCCATTCCCTCCCTTCCTTCTCCTCCTCCTCTCTCTCACCCTCTCTACTCTCCTTCTTCTTTCACTCAGCTCCTCCCTTCGGTATATTTCTATTACTTTCCAATATATTCAGTTTGTTCTGTTTTGACACTAGCATTAAAAAGCCACAGTATACAAGTGCAATCATAGAATTTAACACATATTATATTTCCCCCCTCCCCCTAGATCCCCACCTCCCTTCCCTCCCCCCTCGAACTATATTTTCTTAACTGGATTCTATTTTTCTATTGGAAAATGGGAGTGCCAGGCTTGGAAATTGACAAAAAACGACCTGAAAAGGAGAGAATGCCAAAATATTATTGCAAAGACACCAAAGGTTGAACATGATAAAATCCCCAGGAGTCTTTATTGTGGTTGCTAAGTGATATGAAGGTTAAAAGAACCATCCTGTGACTAGAACCGATTTTATGACCGTGATTGCCGCGGTTGTTAAGCGAATCCAGCTCGTCTCACTTGGCTTGTCAGAAGCCAGCAAAACAAGCCACAATTGGAACGCTGCTATCATGGTAATAAATCCAAGCCAGTTGCCAAATAAATGCCTGGCTTTCGACCATGAGATGCTGGTGGTCATAAGCGCAGGTCGGTTTCCAGGTGTCCGGACGTTGAACAATGTTGGTGTTGCAACGGTGGTTAACTTAAGAAACGACTTGCAAGCTATCCTCAAAGGAACATAACTTCCAGCCGTTCGTTAAATGGGTGGTTTTAAGGACTGTCTACCCCCTGTCCAATGGTGGTGAAATGAAAGGACTGCATGTTCCTCCCTAATCTTAGCAAGTGTCCCAACAGACGCACCTTGGGGTCCCGTCCCCCCCTCCGTAAATCAAAAACGTTTTAAGTCATCCCGTGCAGGAAGAAGATTCAGGCAGGTCATGGGATGAGATTCTGACCTTCAACTGATTTTTTTTTTTTAACTTCCTGAAGTTAGTGAAGATAGGAATGTGTTTTTGATATATGATAAACCATCTTTTGCCTCCTCCGAGTTCTGCTCAAAGAATTAAGCCCTTAAATGTGTTTAAAACAGAGTCATCTGTAGTAAAAACAACAACAAGGAATGTGTGGCATGATTTAACCACAATTATGCTGACAGAGCCAGTGGAAACCGAAAGTTTCTCCTTGGGAAGCAAAACTTTCTAAGTATCTTTGTTTCTCTTCTATGTTTTATTTTGGGTTAGACAGTTAGCAGAAACACTGATTAGCTGGCAAACATTGGTTTCTGGCATCTGGTGCAACTTCAAGCAGTTTTTTTAATTGGTTTATAATATAAAATAGAAAAGAAAATGGTAGGAAAATAAGGGAGGGGGAAGGGAAAAAGAAAGAAAAGGCATGGACTACTTTTAGAATAAGATAATAGCATCAAACATCAACCTTTTACTTTTGTATAGTAACATAAACCAGCTATTTCTATAACAACAAACCTTTCTAATCAGTAAAATGCAAGTTTTGGATCTGCCTAGTCTAAAGGAAAGAATTAGGAGGTGACATGATAGCAGTCTTCCAGTATTTGAGGGGCTGCCACAAAGAAGAGGGGGGTCAAGCTATTCTCCAAAGCACCNCGTGCCCTAATCAGAAAGGGCTTCTAAGATTCTCCTCCTCCTCCTCCTCCCGCCCAGCCGCTGCCAGTCTCCCCATTTTGAGTTTGCTGTGCAAAGGGAGAGACATCATTGACAGGGGAAAAACAGTTTCACTCCCTTTCATACCTTTTTGGCTGTACTGAAGACCAAAGTCTTGGGTAGCTTCATTCCTCCCTCCCTCCCTTTCTTTCTCTATTCCTCCCTTCTTGTCTCCCTCCCTCTCACTCTACTCCTTTCCTCCCTTCCTCCTTCCTTCTTCCTTGCCTCCCTCCCTCCCTTTTCCTCTGTTCCAGAGGTGGAATTCAGCCAGTTTGGACCAGTAGCGGAAATCACGGGTGGTTCCACCCTCCCTCCCCGGCTGTACGGCATCCCATTTAGGCCCTTCTTACACCAAAAGCGGGGAAGGATCTGCGCATGCAGGGAAACCAGTAGGGAAGGTAAGTGTATACCAGCCCTGCTCTATTCTTTCTTTCCTCCTCTATTTCTTCCTTCCTTCTTCCCTCCCTCCTTTCTCTATTCCTTCCCTCTCATTCCCTAAGCCAGTGGTTCTCAAACTTGGCAACTTTAAGACTTGTGGACTTTAACTCCCAGAATTCTCCAGCCAGCAGAGCTGAATTCTGGGAGTTGAAGTCCACAAGTCTTAAAGTTGCCAAGTTTGGGAACCACTGCCCTAAGCCTCCACAGCTTTTGGAAGCCTATAGGAAGTCCTCAATTTACAACCAATTGTTTAGCGACCATTCAGAATTACAACAACCGTGAGGAAAAGTGACCGGGCAGTTACAGCGGTGACTGTTGCTGTGTCCCTAATCACATAAATCAAAATTCAGGAGCTTGGCGACTGGCGACTGCTCTGTTCCGGGTCCTGTGATTGGCATTTGGGACTTTCCCAGCCAGCAATGGGAAGAAGCCAGATTCACTTAGTGCCGAGGTGGCGCAGTGGTTAAATGCAGCACTGCAGGCTACCTCAGCTGACTGCAGTTCGGCGGTTCAAATCTCACCGGCTCAGGGTTGACTCAGCCTTCCATCCTTCCGAGGTGGGTAAAATGAGGACCCGGATTGTTGCTGGGGGCGATATGCTGACTCTGTGAGCCGCTTAGAGAGGGCTGAAAGTCTATATAAGTCTAACTGCTATTGCTATTGCTACAAGATCACAAGTTCTAATGTGCTCAACAATTGTAAAGGTGAGCTGGTTGCCAAGTGTCCGAAATATGACCATGTGCATGGAGTGGTTGTAGAGCCATTGGAACTCTGGAACTTGGT